ATTTTTATATAACAACTTCTAGATTTACAATTAATTAATTAAAAAATGTGTAAAAAAAAAAAGTGCCGGTGAAATGCAGCATCGGTTGATGCCCTTGCGGCAACCATGGCCTTTTTTTCTGAGCAAGGCAACCATGGCCTGGTGACAGACACACGCGTGGCAGCTTCGGCCCACTGGCGACCTTCCGTTCAGATGGCCCAATGACGACCTTCCGTTCAGACGCCCAGCCCTCTCTAGTTTCAACCTGATAGCACGGCGGCCGACGATCTCAAGAGTCAGGAGTCAAGACTCAAGACCGGCCCATAATTATGAGCACGGGCTCATTATTTATTGAATCATAAAACAAAGTCCACATGAATGTGGCCAGAAGCAAGCAAAAAAGGCTACGAAGGCGGGCGGGCGGCCAATCCAAATCCGTCTATAAAAATAATTTCTAAAACGACTTGAAATCCATTTTTAGATGCGGCGGTTAGTCAACTCTAAAAATACCCTTATCTCTAGAGTATCTGCAAAAGCTCCCTAAATCTCATCCTAATCCTTTGTTTTTAGGAAGACGAGAAAAAACTCCTCTCCAACAACTCCTAATAGATCCTCCTGCTCTTTTAATACATCCTCCAATCTCTTGGGACTTAGAAAAAACTACCTCAATCCGTGTAAAGTTATGCACGCTCCCGTCGTGTATATCCGGCCTCATGTTGGCGCGACCTTCCTATTCCCGCAAGCGCAGGTCGTCCACCGCTTCATCGCAGGAATTGGTCGTCGCCATCGTCGTGTGGAGTCAGCCTGGGCACAAATACACCGATAACCGAAAACCGATCCGAACCGCACCGAACCGAATCAAAATTTTGGTTTTTTTTCGTTTTTTCGGTTTCGGTTTTGTTTCAACAGATCACGCATTCGGTGATCGGCGCTTCGAACCGTTAAACCGAAAGCAACCGAACTCCCAGCCAGTCACACACGACCGGCGGTGAGGCACCTAATGCAACACCCAAAGAGCCCAAGTCAAGATCCATACAAGTCGCGTGAGGCCACCCACACACGACCACATACTCGTAAACCCTTTCTCAAAAAATACCGAACCCTATCCTTCGACCCTTCCCTATCTCGAGCTTTGGGAGGCGGCGGCATTCACAGTGGCGGGTGGCGCGGATGCCGGACGGTGATTCGGCTGCATGCCGCGGTGGATGGCGTGGCCGGGGCGTGGAGCCCTGAGCAAGCGCCGCTTCTACGAGAGCGCGAGAGGAGCAGAGGCCGTCAAAGCTGCTGCGCGAGAGGCCGTCAAAGCTTGGTTCAACTCCATGGCTGCGATCTTTGCGGGCACCGGTTGAGACAACACCAGGCCCCCAAGCCCGCAATTCGTTCTTCTCTTTTTTTCTTTTGCGACTCGATTCGTTCTTCTCTGTTCGACGTTTCCTTTCGTCTTTTCTTTCTTCTGCGATAGTTTCTTTAGCGGGGAAAAAACCGAACTAAGAAACCGACACCGAATTTGTCGGTTGTTGATTCTAAAACAACCGATCAGGTGTTGATGTCTGAAAACCGAAATTCTGACAAACAACCGATTTGATTTTTAACCGAATCAAATTGATTGTGGAGGAGGTAATCCATGGATCCATTTCCGTAGGTTAGGGTTTGGTGCTATTGGACAACGATGATTTTTGGTTCAACTCCATCAATGTTCGAGAACTTTTTAGGAGACTTTAGCGGGGAAAAAAGAATGAAGGGTTTTGATTTTTAAAGTCAAATATTAAGTACTATTGGAGATGATTTTTTTCCTATCAATAACTTTATAGGAGTTGGAAAACATGAAGGTTTTAGGAGAAATATTTAAAAACTCTTGGAGATGTTATTAGAGACGGCTCTAAATTTAGTCACTAGCCATTTCTAAAAATATATTTCTATAGCTCACTGAATTTAGAGCTGTCTACAACCGTCTCTCAAAATAGGTGCAGTATAATAAAATTTATATTTTTTCAAACGAAGTTGGAGTATAACTCCAAAAGATCTACAACTTTATAGTTGATAAATTTTTTATTTAAAATCATTTAAATCTCGCTAATTCCGTATAAAGTTCACACATTTTTTAAATCCAAAATCTTTTAGTTCTACAAATGACCTTAGATGAATAAACGTCAAAAATCAAAGTTATAGATCTCGGAAAGATATAAAACATTGCAGTTGAGAACTTTTTTTATTTGAAACTATCTATGTGGTCAAATTTAGTTCGAATTTCTCACATATTGAATTTCAACAAACAACCTCCGACGTTTTTCTTTCGAATCTCTCTCTCACTTTATCACTGATCGTTGTTTTTCCTTAGATTTTTCATTTCATCCAAGATCGATTTGTGGCTCTCATCGACTGTGTGCCTCTCAGTCTCAAGGTCGACATCGATAGAACCCGCTGTTCTTGGCCGGCCTTGTCCACCGTGCAACACAGGGTGGTGGTGCCTCTCCCGCCCTTAACACTCATCATCAATACTCCACCTCTCTCGATTCCGACTACACGCTACGACTGTTGCCGACGGTACTATTGGACTGATCTGTGCCAGTGCCACCATACCCGACGACAAACCCAACCCATTCCATTCTGGCGCCGGCGAAGGATCAAAAAGCGACGTCGACCCTCAGCCTGTTCGGCAGGGCCGTAAAGTATCGTGAATTATTTACTGCTGACTAGTTTGATGTGAAAGAAAAATAATATTCGTTAGCTGAAAAAGTAATCAATCAGCAGCTCTGTAGTAATCAATAGAGTCCACACGCTGACGGACTCGGCGAGACCACTGCGGTTGTTGAGAGCCTCCCAGCTATGGATGGCAACGGGGATGTACCCGTTGGGTATCGTCGGAACGTTCTCTTCCCCGCTACGGAGAATTTATCCCGTCCTCGTCCCCGTTAACTGTCTCGGGTATAGATTCTTGCCATCCCCGTACCCATCGGGCATCAGTCGGGTAACAGATACCCGATGGGTACTGCATACCCGATAAATAAGGACACTTGGGGTCGCAGCTTTGCAATCGGAGACGTTTCTTCTTCACCCGGGTATAAGTGTCGGAGTCTCGGAGATGCCGATGAGAAGGAGCGAGGTTGCGAGGAGAACAAGCAAAGGTGGCAAAGAGACCGAACTGAGGAAGCGAGGGGCACGAGCGCTCGTGAGGCAGGCGTGCTTGTGCTGCTGGCGGAGATGATGAGGAAAAATTGAACTAGGGTTCCTAGAACACACAAACTATATATATGATTGTTCAGATTTGGGCTAAAATACATATGTTGAGCTTTTTTGGGCTTAATACTCGCATAACAGCTCAAATAGTCGGGTTCCCCAACGAGTAACGGAAACGGTTAAACAGAGAATGTTCTCGTACCCGCTATACCCGTCGGGGATGGATTCTTGTCCATTTAGATATCTACGGATAAAGATATGATCATATCCTCATCCCTTAATAGATAAATAGTGATCGGGTATCGGATATCGGGGGCCGTTGCCCTCTTTACTCCCAGCACGCCCCAGGGAAATATCGTCGAAACCGCGGCACGGGAACGAGCGCGACGGCCCGCTTTGCGCGCCGCTGGGCCGAGCCGTAGCCGCCGCAGTAAGTGGTGACACGACAGCACCGTGGGCGTGGGCGGTGTCAAGGCTGCATGCCGTACGTGCGGCGCCCGCCCTCCGCAGCTCCTCCGGCGCTCAGCGTGTGGCGATTGCTTTTCCAGTCCCGATATTGCCCTGAATGAATGGGGGAAAAAATACGTGTTCCGGAGGTCGTGAACGAAATGCGATTCACTTCACACTTCGGGCTCTATGGTTTTGCCGTGAATCTGCGATAGGGCTACAGTTGATACAATGATAGGCGCGGGAGACTTTAATGGTGCATGAAGGGATGATTATCGCTATGTTCGCTTGCCTTATACGGCCTGTTTGCTGGTTAGTTTCTGGACTGATAAGTTTGATTGGTGTTGGTTTGTTGTGAGAGGAAAACATCACTTACCTACCGATAAGTCAAATCGCCTATTGAAACCAATAAACAAAATAAACATGATAAGTCGTCTTTTTTCAAATAACAACAATATTTTTCTCTCACAATAAATCAACCAACAATCTTTTTCAAATGGCACGACTTTATCAATCAAACGAATGGGACATATGAATCTGCCATCGAGTCTCCACTACCACTAGTCCGCTTGTGTATATCGTTGGAGGATGGAGACCGATGCGGTTAGCTGACCGTGACCGTGACCCAACTCCTTCAGAATTTTCTTTCGTGGTGCAAATGCCTCCATCGATCTGGATGCGGAGATGTGCTAGTTTTGCTGGCGCAGTTTCCCTAGAATGATGATAAGATTTTGCTCAACTTCTCATAGCGCGCGTGACGCCAGTGGTGGAAGATATGAACGCTGGGAAACGACGATGTAAATTCAGCGAGAGGACGACAGGGCCTGGCGAGGTATGGATAGGGACAAAAGACGAACTAACGTCCACAGTCGCAGAAGCTTCTAAACGATCAGGTCCCCAAAACAGAAAAACTTTCTTGTCTCGGGAAAAACAGGTCCAGCAAAAGCTTCTAGAAACTGATAAGTATACCACTAGTAGCTCCGACTGAGCTAGACTCGGGGTCAGCCGCTGGTGCATAGCCATTTCAGATTGACATTTGCAAGCGCACCGGTAGAAGTAGGCACTGTTCGCTTAACTTGTCCGTCGTATCTTTTTAGTAAAATAATCAGCAGCAGCCGTTTTTTCGGCCTGCCGAACACAGCTAGTTTCGTGTCCCAAGTTGCAAATCGGACCGAACAAAACGTGATCGAACGAAGGCATAACAAAGCTGCCATTGATACTTCACCAATTATACTAGTACAGTACAGTACAGTACATATCCTACTACTGTTCTTGAACATTTTTTTCCCTTCATTTCGTTCCTCTGCTTGATTTGCTATATACGTACAACCGTGGTAGTGGCAGAAGAAGTACGTAGCGTAGTTCTGTTATGTGTGTACGTACATGTACACTCCACTTCAGATTTCAAGGAAGCAGGAGGCCTGCACGTGCCCGGAGAACTCCGGCGGCGCGGCGGCGCGCGTCCAGGACGCGCCTTTCCCGGCCTCCTCGCGGAGCACGTACACGGTCTGATCCCCGCCGTGGCACCCGGCCCCGATGACCACGACGCGGCCGTCCGGGATGGCGGAGACGGTCGCCGCGGTGCGCGCGTCCTCGGGCACCTGCGCCACCGGTCGCCACGCCGACGCCGCTCCCGCGACGCCGTCGCGCGCCACGAGGTGCCCATCGCGACTCAGCATGTACATGCGCTCAGACGACCCTGGCCCTGGCGCGGCGCAGCAGGTCCTCGGGCACACGCCGTCCTCGATCATCAGGTCGACGGGCGCCCAGGTGGACGTCGCCGGGTCGAAGCACTCCGCGGAGCCAACGAACCGGCCCTGCGCCTGCGTCGGGTACCCGCCGACGACGAGGAACCTGCCGCCTCCCCCGGCGGCGACGCAGAGCCCACGCGGCTCGTCGCGCTCCTCCGCCATGTCCGGGAGCTGCACCCACGCGTCGGAGTCCGGGTCGTAGGCGAGCGCCGACCGCAGGGCGTTCTTCTCGTTGTCGTGGCCGCCGGCCACGTACACAGCGCCGCCGACGGCCGCGCAGGCGAAGAAGGACCGGCGCGGGCCCGGCATGGGCGCGCCGCGCCGCCACGCGCCTGTCAGGAAGTCGTAGACGAACACCGCGTCCGTCGGCGCCCACGTCTCCGGGTGCCAGCCGCCGACCACCACCAGCCGCTTCCTCCCCTGCCCGCCGGCGCCGTCCACGGCGGCCACCTGGCAGAAGAGGGGGAGGCTCTCGTTTGGCCACGGCAGGGGCGGCAGCGGCGCCCACCGTCCCTCCACCGGCTCCAGCAACACCATCCGGTACGAGTTCGCGGGGCCTCCCGAGCCCGCCGCCGTCGAGTGCTTGTCCACCGCCGGACCAGCGTCGTCGTCAGCCGCAGGCGCTGCCGGCTGCGCCTGGACCAGCGCGAGCACCGGGCGCGCCAGCCCCTCCGCCCGGCGCTGCCGGTGGTAGTCCGGCGACTCCACCTCGGTCTTCCACTGGCGCGAGATGTGGCGGACCACCGGCAGCTGGTCGAAGCCCACTCGGACGAGGCACTCCCTCGCCACCTCCTCCGGCAACCCGGGGATCAGCTCGCCCATTGCCGATAATGCTAATGCCTTGATCAGTTGCCTGTGGCCGTTTCTGATGTATCGATCGATTGAAGCTTGGTTCGAGCAGGAAACGGGAGGTTCTTGGCTGCTCTGAGAGCTGTGCTTGTGTGTTTGAACGGTGTGTTGATGTGTTTGTGTGAGGCGAGTAGCGGGAGCAGAGTGGGCTACTTACTTATACGGAAGAAAAAAAAAACAGAGCAGGGTGCCAGCCAGGGAAGGTTGTGATATTTTTTAAAGCATTTATCTTTCAGGCAAGCTCATTCCTTCTGTCACTACCATGGGCCTTGTTTAGATTACCTCCAAATTTCAAGTTTTTTCACTCTTTCTTCATCACATCAATTTTTAAACGTATATATGAAGCATTAAATGTAGGTAAAAAAAAATAACTAATTACACCAATCTTTTGAGCCTGGTTAGTCCATAATCGTACAAAAGTTTGTCGAATGCTGATCTGTTGGTACCAAATGGCATGCTGATCTGTTTTGGTAGAGGTAAGAATGCCACATAAGACATGTGGTACGATATTGACGTGACAGGGTGAATTACGCATGGTGTGGCGGAAGAAGTCTGCGAAATTGAGAGCCTGAGAAGATTAGGCATTGTCTTTGTTAAATTGCGCATTCGCTCAGCTCGCGCTGACCTTTGAAGCCATTCGGTTCTTGACAACACTCCGTTTGTCAAAAAAAAACTGAATTGTCTAGAAACGCAGAGATTGCGAAGCCGGCATGTAAATTGGCATATACTGTGTTGCCTGTATGTGTGAGTTTGTTTGCAACTGGTCTATATGCCATTCACTAATTAAAAGAAATGTGACCTTAAATATGATTTTCTCTACTTTTTCACTCCCTCCATGGCGGATAAAATCCTACTATGTAATGTAACACCTCTTCTAGACAATTGAGGCCATCCCACGGTACATGCTCAAAATACATGGAAAAAAAATACAAGCATCCAGGTCACTGATTGAATGAATGAATTACTGAAAATGAGATAAGTCTGTTTCTTTATTATAACAACCAATAAGGCCGTTGATAAACGGCGACAACAAAGAAAACAACTGCACTAATTGGACCAAAGTATAGCAGTGAGCCACCGACACAGTGGACATCTCCGTGGCCCGTGGGCGCCGTGGCGCCGGGGATCCAATGCGAAGGGCCCGCGTGTCGTTCCCTTTTACATTACATCAGCGAGCGCACACATTGACGTGGTTCCCTTGTCCTCACCCGAGCGGATAGATTCCGCGTCCGAATCAACGGCGGCTCACACTCGCACTCTCCGCCGCATAACCGGCCGCCGCCGCTACATGGATGCACACAGCACAGCACTGCACCGCTCATGGAATCTCCTCTTCCCTTGGCAATCACGACGCTACGGGTCTTCTAGTGGTTTTCGCAACAGGAATGGATTGGGAGCTCTTCTCGCCTGCCACGATACGGAATCAGAGACCAATTGCGAGCCCGAAAGCGTGGCGTAACTGTACCAAGGACTCCAGGAGTATAGCAGCGTGTGGGCAGCCTCCACGCCGCCATCCAGGTGCTGCAGGCACACGCGTCGCAGTCGCCGGAGTCGGAATCGGCCGGCAGTCAGTTTGTTCGGCTGAGCCCTTGTTTAGTTCGCGAAATTTGGATTTTGGGGCTACTGTAGCATCTTCGTTTTTATTTGATAAATAGTGTCTAAACATTGATTAATTAGGCTTAAAACGTTCGTCTCGCAATTTCCCACCAAACTGTGCAATTAGTTTTTCTTTTCGTCTACATTTAATGCTCCATGCACGGGCCGTAAACATTCGATGTGACAGGTACTGTAGCAACTTTTTGGATTTTGGGGTCCAACTAAACAAGGGCTGAGCTGAACAAAAACACTGTGCATGCTGGAAACACTGTTTATACTGATTCGTTGTGAGAGAAAAACACTGTCACAGCTGTAAAAACAAGCCGAACAAGCCAAGTCATGGCCATACGTGCCTCGCGTGAATTTTCCGATCGGGATCGGCGCTCCCTCCACACGGTAGGGGGACTCGTGGCTACCGGAGGCAAGCCGTTAAGGCTATCTCCAACAACAACACCCAGAATACATAACTTATTCGTCATTTGGTAATGTCATAGGACAAAGGTTCAATACATATTCGGTATCTTCTCCAATAACCAGACGCAAAAGAGAATTCTTTCTGTAAATGGGTTTTTTGAGAAATGATGCTTATATTTAGGTTGTGTCTCTCAAATAATCTAAAATAGTTATTTCGTATAGATACTCTGTTGATCTGTTGATGACTGATTTTGATTATGAAGTAACGCAAGTGTACGACGGAAGAAAGAAGCTACCGTAACGATCCACTTAGTACTGTGTTACTCCACACTCCAGCATTAGCACGAGCCGGGTGCTGCAAAGTCAAGAAAATCCGCGCCGCGGCCTGGGTGGAGAATCCGGCAAGATTAGTACAAACGAACGGATAGGCACGAACGAGAATTTAAGACAGCCGGGTCCGGTCCTTGCCGGCACGACCAGCGAATATCGCGGTGGCCAGATGCCGTGGCGTGAATAGGATCGCCATCGCGAGCCCGCGTGTACTAGTAGTCCTAGTCAGTGGACGGTGATCTGCAGTCCTACATCTCTTTGCTCTGCGCCTCTGCCGGGCCCCGCCGTCTCCTCACGCACTGCGTTTCATGCCCCGTTTCGGCTGATCGTCTGATCCTCTCGCGCGCGCTCCGCGCCGCCGCTGCCTCCCTCAGCCTTATCCGCTGCTCCCGACCACAACAGCGGCGCAGGTCGCGGGTACGGGAAAGTGGAAAATCTACACCGTCGCTGTCGAGGGTGGCGCCTTGGCCTTGGGCGTTGGCGGTCGAGCAAGTGGGCGGGCCGCGCTTTGGGCTCCAGCGGCAGCGGCAAGTTGATGAGGAAGTAATGGTCACCGTCAGTGGATGAGCCGTGCTGTGGGCGGTGGCCGCGGGGACGGATGCTGGCTGCATGCAGCATTGCTGATTCTCTGCCCCCACGTCCCGATGCAAAAAATCGTAAAATAATATGATCCGTGGGTAAAATCCGAAACCAAACCTGATAATTGGATCCAAGTGGACATTAGAAATCCGGATAAAAAAATTTGATGTGTTTTATTAGATTATAGGTAAGTGTGTTAAAATCTACTAGAATTTTACCCTGCTTGGGTGATATTCTAGGATTTTGGGATTTTCCTTATCGGGATTCTTGAATCCTATGATAACCAAACGCTACAAATTTAGGGTCTCTAAACCCAAACTCCTATAGAAAGGGAAGGGGATTGCACTCGCGCTCACAGGACCTAAAACCCACAAGGCCTCAACTCGAAGCCGTCCCACTGCCATCCCTACTTGCCATCTCCCATTCCTCGTTCTTATCTACTCAACTATAGGTGCTTGGAGTAGAGAAACCGCGTTTGGTGGGGTCACCGGGAGGAGCGGTTGTGGGGGGTCTGACCCCAGGTACCCATGGCGGGCTACATGGGCTGCACCGCAAGGGACAGTCCAGCCCACAAGATGATGACTTGCGGCTCACGGCATAGCTCGGCGCACGCCGCAAGACACCTCGGCGACATGCTAAAGATAGCATAGAATCTATTAGGATATGCCGAATGTAATATTCCATATAAATCTTATTTGTTACCCGATTAGTTGTAGACCTGATCGGCATGTAACCCTACCCCAGGCTATATAAGGCGGGTAGGGGACCCCCTCAAAACACACGCAACCATATACGATAGCCAATACAAACCGACGGGACACATGATTAGGGTATTACGTCACATTGACGGCCTGAACCTGTCTAAATCTTGTGTCCTGTCACCATCTCGCTCCTGATCTCGCTCACATCTACGACAAATCTACCATCGTGGGATACCCCTCGGTGGACTGCCGAGCATCTTTTATCGACAGTTGGCGCGCCAGGTAGGGGTGTGCGCTTGATCCATGGCGGGCCAGATGCTACGTCTTCCGAGCTCTCCGTTCGCTCCCAAGCCCAACTAGTCCTTCACGGTCGGGTACATCACCTGGGTCGTCAACGCCAACGGCGACGAAGAGATCGTCCAGCCGGTGTAGGACAACCCTGCGCCGATCGCTCCGTCGTCCCGCCAACATATCTAATCTTGGGACCTCTCCTGGGGTCACCTTCCTCTCCGACAGCTCGCCCAACGGCGCCACGCCGGCAGAGGAAGCCCATCCAGTAGGACGATTTGATCTTTGTTATAGATCGGGTCGATGAGAAGCTCGCCGAGTGCTTGTCGCTCGTGGAATCGGACATGCATCGGCCGCCTCACGACGACGAGTTCCCTCCGTTCCAGGTGGTTCGCCCCAGGAGCTCCACCCGATCACACCGTCCGAAGGTGGCAAGATGCAGATCTAACCATCACGGCAACTCCACAAGGGTGCACGGTGCAGCACCGACCACTCTCCAGATCCAACCAGCCTAGGGTTGGTCGCCAAGCCCCTACGCGGGGCTCCACAGTGGCTTAGCCCTAAGGGTTGGCCAACACAGTCGCTTCCTATCAGGAGGCCCTGCAAGGTCTCTACACCAATCAGATAGGCGACATCCACTCGCTCGCCGAGTTCGCCTTGCCAAGCGCTGGTCAATCTGCTCCCACCGTCAACATGGTGCAGATCCATCAGCTCGACGACGATTCTCTACCCCCGATCCTGGAGGGAAATCCGGGGGCAGAATCCGAGGGCTCCACCGAAACCATCGTCGAAACCGTCACCGACCTCATCCCGAGCAGTATAACTCCGTCCAAGGGGTCCTTCGGTGGAATCTTCATGATCAGCAACGACAGTGCGGCACGTGATGGGGAGACCAACTCCTAGCGCAATGCTCGGGAGGCCCAAAATGTCGATCGTGCCCGATGTTGCAGAGAAGCAGATGCCGCCACGAACGTCGGAGCAGCCACCAGTGATGCTGTCGCTGGCGTGCCCGACCAGCAGGGCAGGAACCGCGTCGTCCACGACCTCAACGATGCCTTCCTCCAA